TATTTATGAAAAAACAAAAACACACGAAACTTTAAGTTTATATTATAGAGTTAACAAGTCACATATTTAAAACTTTTAAGAAGCAACAACGCTTTTATTCCATCTTTAAACCTATAAATAAGATTAAAGAAATGTTGGGGAATACTGAGGACAAAATAGAATGAGAAGATAAAACTGGGACTTACAAAATAGATGAAAATGTGGGAGTATTTATATTGGTCAAACTAAAAGGAATTCAAAATACAGATTACAGGAACATAAAGGTTACGTAAGAAATAATAAAACAGAAAACTCTGTTATAGCAGAATATGTAAAAATAACACAACACAAAACTATATTGGAAAAACTACAAATTTAGCCCAACCTCGTAATATTACAGCTTTAAATGTCAGAGAATCACTAGAAATAATAAAATGTAAAAAACAAAATGAGTATTAATCAGAGATGAAAGGTCATCAAGTAAAAGTATTGATATTTGGCATGATGAAGTTGACTAAGAAATCATGTAAATAGAAAAAACAATGCAATATCACGTGAAAGGAAAAAAAATGTATAAATTAATATGTCTTGGAGATTCCTGAAGACGACATAGTGTATTTTTAAAGTGGAAGCAGTTGACGGCTTCAATAACGTTTTAAAAATTGTGTAAATATGAAACGTTGATTTTAATTATTTATTAAATTTCTGAATTACAATGTATATTTCAGATTGTAAATCGATCAGAATATTGATGAAATTCAAAATGATTAAACAAAATTCTGAATGATGTTGAATTTTGATCAAGGTTTCCAACAATCCGTAAGTTTACAAACAGTTAGTAAAAAATCACATTTTAACACTGTCCGTAAACCTCTAAGTAGAAACGAATGTTATCTTTTAATTGCAACACTGATATTGATTGATCTAGTAATTATAACAATAGTTTGGTATGAGTGTGATATCACAGCAGCCACACTTTAACGATATACTTGTTGGTTTTTTACTTTATCTCATTTAGTGTAGCAAGTACATTATGCGATTGTAAATAACAAATACATTTCTACATGAGCAGTTGAGCGACACCTGTTTTCTGTTTTAAAACTAAAAGTCTTTCACTATCCAATCTACACTATATTACAGGAATTATTTGTATAGTGAGGAAATATATATGGTCATTATAATGCAAAGCATAATTGTTTATTCTACTTCAAATAGGGTGTTGATCCATTTCGGTAACGATCACTGCCTGGACCCTGTTACTAACAGGCATAATATTGTACCATTCTTCCTTTAGGGCAAGTGCCAGTTCAGCAGTGGATCATGGTCTGTCGACTCTGGCCATCAGGTGGCGTTCCAATACATCTCTGAGTTGTTTGATTGGGCTTAAATTGTGGCAGTGAACTAGCCATTGCATACATTAAATATTGTTGTTTTCAAACTAATTCCTAATTAACACGGCAGTGTGTCAAGTCGCGTTATCATTGTGGTAGACACAAGGGCTTTTACCGCAATGTTGCATAAAAATTGTTAGTATAGACTTGAAAATAACAACATATGACGAGGCATTCATCTTTCCCTCTACTAGAACCAACCCATACCAAGAAACACAGGCCGAAACCATTACCTTTTCTAACACCTTTAACCGTTGGGACAACAGCGTCATACGCGTTCGGCCTGTTGATGCTAAACTGTTATTCCATCCAGCGAATGCAAAAAAACAAAACAAAAAACAACAACACGTGTATCGCTATGTACCATTCCTCATAATACGTTTTCACTATTAGATATGTCAATCCAGACGTTTCAGGAACCCCTTCAGTCGGCACTTTGAATTTAGGCTTGCAATCCATAGCTTATGAGGAGCAGCTCTTCCGTGAAAACCTTGATCGTATAGTTTCGTTGTATTTTAGAAGTTTGACCTAAATTTTAGTGCTTTTGTTGACTTATTGGATGATAAATTTAACTATAGGCTTTTCTAGCCAGATCTGTCAATAATATTGGCTTGCCTGTTCTAATTTCAACCTTAGCAGGACTTGTTTTCTTCCATTTTCTATGGACATTACCAACAAATGACTTAAGAAGGCTCATTGTGACGGAAATGACTCGAACGCTTATAGACACAATAACTAGTCTATACTGAAGATCAGTCAGATATTGGTTACAACTAAAGTTTTGTAACTGCTACACGCATTTGGAAAGTATATATTGTTTTGCAGTGTGGGAAAAATAAACAAATACAGGTTGGTTGTGTTGTCCGAATAATTTTTAATAAAATCTAAGTAGAATTTTTTTCATTCATCTCATGATTAGTTTATATCGCGATATTCGATAAATAATATACATTAAAGGAGCAGTGTTGTCCACATCAAAATGGGTCAAATAGAAATTTATCGATTTCATTTTGTGCTAAAACAGTAACAAAAGAATTAGATATTATATGGAGTTATGATGTACTTTAATATGTTTTTAATCTTTCCTTTTCTATGATTTTTAAAAGAAATTTTACTCACATGCTTTCAATCAAAATTCACAAACCATCTTCAGGGGCTTCAGTCTTCAGATTATCTAACAACCAATGATTTTACTAACGTTTGGAACTATTGAAACTTGGATTAGAATTTATACTATTCTCTTTGATTGAAATCAATAAATTTGAAAAGTGCATCATTCTTGAAGGATTCCTTTATAACAGCCACGTGGAACATTTGAACTTGCATCAGCCTTTAATAATGCAATATGATAGCCTTCTGAAACATTTGAAATGTTCATCAGTCTTGAAGAATTGTATATGACTACAATGTGGGAATTTTGAAGCTTGAGTCAATTTTGAAAGATTCTTATTGAGTAAAAGATAAAATGTTAAATGCTCCCCATTCTATGATTATCATGTGAAATGTTCGAAATGTACATCAGTGTTTAAAGACAATCTATGATTGCCATGTGGAAGAAATGAAATGTGCATTAGTCTTGTAGAGTCTTTAAAACCGGTATATGAGATTATCTTGCTAATAAAGCAACAGTTTCAAAGGTACAAAATACTTCTTCTACAATAAAATATTTTGCAGTAACAAAAGTACACTATGTGTAGAAGGTCTAACGTTTTCTGTTTAGATAGTCCATTCTAAAACCAAAATATCGGCAAAATCTAAGTAAACCAAAGATATCTGTGTACAACATAGAAAAGATAACAGTCTCAATAGAATTTTTAGCACATATAAATGAATTAGTTTTAATCATATTTTATTGATTTTGTATAATTTAAAAGGTATTGAGGGTTGAATATAAAACTGCTTTTGCAATTAACAAAAGCAAAGTACACTTAAGTATCGAAACCTGATCTTAGCATTACACAATACTTTCTATGGATCATGGACATCAAATATTAGTTAACCCTATTATCGACAATATATCAACGAAACGTGTACACCCAAAATGATATATGCATATTTCTCTCAAATGTTTAAAATATATGTTATGTTTGTAAAAATAGCCTAATGATTAACTTTTAATTAATTATTTTAAAGTTTGGACCCAAATGTGACCTAGTGTAAAAACAGTGAGCATATAATGCAGCCATGTCGGTAAAGGATTAAAACTTAAAATATTGATGGTTTCAAATATACACTCAATAGTTATTATTATCTTGGTTTACTTTCTATTGGTAATATTGGCAGCTTCTAATTACAGCTCAATTCCAAATAGTAGAATAAGTCACTTTGAATTCAATGGACACTATTCATAACATGTGTTACCAATAAATATGATGGTGCGAACTAGTAAGGATGAACAGGTAATGTAGCGGTTTATCATTTTATATTTCCTCAATAATTATACAAATTGCATAATCAAAGTGGCATATTACGTTATTATTTTCATATAAATCACCATTTTGCTGAAGCCAGTGACTTACTTATAGAATATAAAATACGTAGTACGTGTATTGCTTACTTATGTATACAAACATGGTGTTTTAATGATTCTGGTATTTCTAAGTGTCAACGTTTTGGAGTTGTGTGACTTCACTGTGGTATAAATCACTCTCATCACCTACTGTAAAGGTCGTTCGTAGAAAAACTGTCGTATTCTGATATTTCTAAGTGTGAACGTTTTGGATTAGTGTGACTTGACTGTAGTATAAATCACTCTCATGACCTACTGTAAAGGTCGTTCGTAGAAAAACTGTCCTATTCTGATAGTTCTAAGTGTGAACGTTTTGGAGTAGTGTGACTTGACTGTAGCATAAATCACTCTTATGACCTACTGTAAAGGTCGTTCGAAGAAAAACCGTCGTAAAAATAAATTTGTGCACCCTATAAATGTAGTTGTTTTGTGGTCAGTAATTATGAGCTCGTTTATTAAATCGCAGAAAATGCATGTTTTTAATAAGAAAATAGCTGTTCAGATTCAGAAAGCGAATATATGGATTATCTATCAAATTTCCCATTGTCAAAATTTATCTATATCAAACATTTATCCAGATTGTGAATAATCTGGATTGTCGATGTCCGAAATAACGAGAGTCCACTATATAAGTAGAGAGATAGACAAATGTAAATTACTCTTTTACCAAAACTATCACAAGTAAGGGAGAAGGAAGAGATAAGATGGTGTAACTATCTTGTGCAAATATCTTGTGAAAACGTTTCACATAATATTAATTAATTAGATGTGTAGTATAGTCGAAAAACGCTTACTGTGTAGTAATAAACTATTAAGTTATAAAGTGAAGTTTCATCTGTATGTCAAACGTATTCATGGATTTCCTTGCAAAAGAATGCCTCCTGTAACCGATAAGGTATCTAGAGGATAAAACTGAACAGTATTAAACTATTAGACTTTGCTCTCTTTGTTTGAGATGCGAATTGTTTCGAAATCAATAAGGGCTGTAAAATATATGTATAAAAAAGCTGTAGATTGCTAATCTGTGTCATCCATTTGAAGAATTCGAAGATTAAAGCAGACAAAACTATAATACGAAACGCCCATCCCTATAAGGTCACGTGACGAGGGGGTGTCACTGTAAGTTCATCGTTTCGTTTTTGTGGTCGGTACTATTTGGAGACTAGTTAGAGAAGACAGTTAACATCAGGTCCACAAGTCATTCAACTGGTGCTAATGTAAAGAACCCTGAAAATTATTCTCAGAAAGGTAAAAAGTTTAATGTTAATTCAACAAAAACTATAGCTAGAAATCTGGGTTATTAAATTAAAACCATTAAATTGTTGCACATATGCAGATTTATGATTTTAAATGAGCTTTTTATTTTATTTTGCATATGGTTTTATACAAAATAGATAAATTAAAAAAATTGAAGTTATCAAATTAACAGAATGTATGTCTTATTGCTAATCGAGTGTTTGTTTAAGCGCAAAAACATAAATTGGGCTATCTGCGCTTTGTCCACTGTGTAAAACCGAATCTGGATTTTAATACCTATTGTAAATAAACTTATGACTGACCTATCGATGGACTCATGTGTTTGTATGCTTAGCAGAAGATTCTTTGAGGATAAATACAGTATAGTTACATACATCATTACACTAACTCAAATATTATAGAATAGTTAATCAGTTCCTATATATTTTTTCAGCAGATTATATATTTAAATTAGGGTAAAATAAATTTCACATTGTTTTATTTTAATAAATGATTCAATACACTTTCACATGCTTTGTTTTAAATGACTAGCTCCCATCTCTTTAGTCTATCACTGCTAAATTAGGCACGGCTAGAGCAGCTAACCCTTGGTTAGCTTTGCGCGAAATTCAAAATAAAACAAACAAATCTAACTGGTTCTCAAAGAGCACATTCTATCTAACTTTATATTTCATGTAAACACGCAAAATAAAGCATAATTGTGAATGGATATGACCAAGAGTTAAAATGAATTTATTATACAATTTGTTTTTAAAATTGAACATTTCTTCTATAATTAACAAATTGCTAATTCATTTTATATATAGGTTTCACAATTCATCCCACCAAGAGTTGAAAACACTGAGTGCTTAACATATTAACTGCTGCCATTATAAACGAAAATCATTACGAAAACTATACGTGTTTTTAAAAAAGCTATCTCCCAATTTCTTTTACACTATAGGGCAAATGGCAACATAAAATGTGCATTACATGTTTCAAAGAGAAGCATCAGAAATATATGTTTTAAGTATGAGTTAAAATAAAAAAAACTAACCACTTATTTATTTAAAAACAAACAATTTGTTTAGTTTGGCCAAAGCTAGACAACTAGGCACTTTAAAAGAATTTTTATACCTGTTTACCTTTTTTCATATTAATGAAAATAATAAATGCATTACTGGTTGCTTTTCCAATTGTAAATCAAAGTATGACAATGTATAACATGTCAACAAGATTTTAGGTTCTTCACGTTTTACAGAAAAATAACTATTGCTTTCTACAAGTTGTGGAAACATATACTTAATTTTTAATTCATATATTAGTTTTATAATATTCTGCCCAACTGAAAAGAGTTTGGGGACTGTCTGTGACTGAATATTCAGTGGTTTAAGTGGTGCATTCTGACCATAGGTGGGTCTGTCGGCAGCCAATGTGATCATTCATCGAGAAGGCCAGTTAGCTTGAAATTCTTTGTCTAAATAAAAGGGCATAATCGTTTACGTACGTTTAAAAATAACATCATCGTTATTTTTCACACATAAAATCGTGAAACAGTGCACTGGGTAAGAACCTCTGAGAATGGGCTAATTGGATTAATACGAGCTGACACTGTGTGAAAAGGTATTTCTCAACTAGCCATGAATGGATTGTTCTTAAACGTAACATTTTAGGCTGATATATTATAGTGTCTTACTATACTTCCAGAACACTTTGGATATTTTGGGCCAATACATTTGCCCAACACTAAACAGGGAAAATCTAACAAATAGCTTCCAGTTAGGAGAAATTTTAATTTCTTTGCCACCAGAAGCTCCTCTAAGACCAGATGATACAATTCTCGAAAGATCCAGTCAGTTGTTAGGAGCTTAATAATACACTTAATATGTCAAATAATAATCATAAGTTCTGAATATATATTTGTAGAACAAATCTGAAGTTTCACTATTGTTCACACTAGCCATAATTTCTGGTAGACGTCACTAACACCATCATAGATACCTGTCACATGGAGTTTTCTTATCTAATTTCTTTTCAGTGAACAGTTTTTCGTATTCTCTGTCTTGAATAGATGATAATGAACATATGATAACCTATTTGTGTGTACGAGAAAATTCAATGCCTTTAATATTAATCAAATTATTTTTTAAATTAATTTTAAATATTAGAAGTTGAATTAACATTTCATTGTTTGATTTTTAAAGTTTTACAAAATCGCATTAATACTCTTTTGAGCGTCTAATGTTCGTATTTTGTCATATGGTGGTTAGGGAGCTGACTCGCAATATACGGGTCGTGGGCTTGAATCCCCGTCACCGAACATGCTCGTCCCTCCAGCCGTGAGAAAGTTATAATGTGGCAGTCAATCCCACTATTCTTTGATAAAAGAGTATCTCAAAAGTTGGCGGTGGGTGGTATTGACTAACTTTTCCTCTAGTTTATCACTGCTAAGTTAGGGCAAGCGCAGATATCCCTCGTGTAGCTTTGTGCGAATTCAAAACAAACAAATAAAAAAAATATTCATATAAGGCAAGTTTGTTTGAGATAATTTTATCTTTTTTTTTCAAGTAGGACAGAGAATAAAACAACAATGAAACACAACAATTCAAAACAAACAAATAAAAAAGTATTCATATAAGGCAAGTTTGTTTGAGATAATTTTATCTTTTTTTTTCTCAAGTAGAACAGAGAATAAAACAACAATGAAACGATTGGGAGTCTTTGCTGCCATTTTTCTGCTTACATTGTTTTTCAAACAAGTATATGGCCTTTGTATCGAAAACCCATCCAATGAAGGTAAGTATGAAGCGATAAAGATTCTGAAATGATTTTTCTTAAGGCCTAAGTATGGACCATTGTATAATAAACAGCATAAAAACGGAATTTCTACACTGTCATTTATAGCTTTTTTGTTAAAGCTAGATTGAAACTTATGTATAACTATTGCAAGTTTTAACCATTTTATTTAAAAATCATTTTAACGTTTTGCATTATTAAACTTAGTGCTGACTGGTGTGCCAGTAAAAAGATTGTTAATGTTTTTAATATTCTTAAGCTTATTTCTAAGTTGTTTCTAAGACAAAAAGTCTTTAAATTCTAAGTTCTTACTATACGAAAAGCAATATTTATATAAAATTGACCTGTACACAGAAGATAAGTATTGTTTCTTGCTCTTGTAAGTAAGTTTTCCTCTGGTTACTTTATATCTTTCTGGCTATTTTTTATATAAGGTAAAATGATACGCTTTTTTATTTCGTCAAACAATTTTGTTCAACGGAACAAATACAAATAAGGTGATCAACAAATCATATAAAAATTAAAAGTCATGTACACTATTTCGAGTTACTTGTGCATATCTCTTAAGGCGAATATCTCAAACTTGCTGTCTTATAATAGTTTAAATATTTTATCATTTTCAGATATTCTTGTTAGTTTCCTATGCTTTCTCAGTCTGGAACAGTACTTAATAGACTTACACCAACTTTCAGTAGATATTTTGGTACTAAATAGAGTTTGTTTACACGTTACTGCACCTTGTGTCAAGTCGTTTTCTTTGCTTACAACCCATTCAGTGCCAAAGGATTCATATTTTCTCTATAACATATTTTAGAACGTCCTGTTATTCTGAGGAACCAGTGAAATCAGTGCAAGTTCGAATATTATAGAGTAGGTAGGAGGAAGGAGAACAAATATTTTACTGTTACCAGGATTTATTTTTGCATGCTTTCTTTTTGTCTTCACAAAGGGTTTTTGCTTATGATTTTGTAAACTAGGGGTGTCATTGAATTTAAAGCTTTGTACTTGATAAAATGACATTTTCCATGAGTTGAAGGATTTAGAACGAAGAGGAAGCAATAGTCAGTGAAAGCTATCGAATCGTGGAGAAATCTTCTTCTGGATGTCGAACTTTTTCCAATGCAACTTAGGTCTATTACTTATTTCTCATTCCAGTTGTAGACTATAAAAGAACAGCTGTCAAAATCTAGTGCATCTAGAGACACTGTCTCAGTTCTTCCCTTGGAGAATAGCCTCAGTGTGCAGTAGCCATGGATGACTGAGGGTTAATTGGGTGGCATTTGGTCTGGTGATTCTGAGACTGAAGGACCCAATATGACCAGGTCGTTAGGGCGTTTGACTCGGAATCTCAGGGTCGTGGATTTGAATTTCCGTTCCACCAAACATGCTCGCCCTTTCAGCAGTGGGAAGGTCATAGTATGATGGTAAATCCCACTATTCGTTTGTAAAAAAAGTAGCACAAGAGTTGGTGGTGGGTGGTGACAAATAGCTGCCTTCCCTCTATTCTTTCACTGCTAAATTTGGGATGGCTAGCGCAGATAGCCCTCGTGTAGCTGTGTGTGAAATTCAAAACAAACCAACCAAACGAACCGAGACTGAATGGGGTGGCCTCTACAGTATGCCGAGGCATTTTCTGAACAGAGTAATTCAACTGTAGCTTTGGTTGAAACCATCCTAGAGTATGTGAGAGAGACTGGAGGTGGTGCGGATTTAGAAGCATAAGAGACAATAAGAATAAACTGATGAAACATATCTATAGGACAGCTATAAGCATTTTCATACTGCCAATGTAACCATGGGTTATGGAGAAACCTGGGATCATGCAAGTAAATGCATGAGCTACCTATGGTAATTAAATGTTTTGGTATTCACGAGCAAGAACCTAATGCTTGTTCAAGCATAGGGGTCCCTGAGTATGGCAATTACCCTATACCTCAAAGGATTGAGCATTTAGCCTGTTGTTGGCCAGGAATATGTGGGTGAGAGTTCTATGTCCAAATCACATGTTTCTGTGAGTGAAGCTAAACATATCTCTACTCCAAGGGTGCGGTTAAATAACACCATTTTCTGCTCTTACTAAAGCTGATGCATATATTAAATAGACTGAGGAATGTGACAAAGCATTTCTGTCACTGAAGCTTAGTTGAAGCTCCATGTTGACATATCCATGATGGGATTATAAGTTTTTGTTAGATACTGTGATAGTGGAATTAGGCAGTGTTATTACAGTCGCAGGATGGGGTGGAATGTGTAATCACTTACACTGATCTCAGGCTCTTGGTTTCAGAATGCATATACTACATGAGAAAGAAAGAGCTGCTTGCAGTGGTGGTCTTCATCATACAGAATTTACACTACCTGTATGGTAGAAAGTTCTCAATTCGTGTGGACTATGCATCACTGAAGTGGCTCATGAACTTTAAAAATCAAGAAATGATTATTTTATATTGGATTACAACATAATAGGGGTATGACTTAGCTTTTAGTGCATCGTTTAAATTCATAACATGGAAAGAAATGCCAATGAATATTCTCAATGTATGCTAAGACCCTATTTTTTATTTAATTCTCTGATCCTGAACACCACGTAGAAAGTAAATCCATTTCTGCCATAGCAACATCAAGCCATACAGTAGAAACAGAACAACTGAAGGACTGAGGTTCATTTAGAAATATTAAACATACCCAACACAGATTTGGGAGATATCACAGGCATACATAACCCGTGTCACATGCATGGGTAGCCACGAGTGTAGGATTTTATGTTGCACAATTATTAACAACTACGAAGATGTGATTCTCAACCAATATTGCAGTCAGTGGTTCATATTCTGTTTAACATGAAGACTGAAGGTCGTAAAGATGTTAAATTCACTTGCCCTAACATGAAGCTGCATTTTTAGTTCCATAGATTAGAGCTTGAGACATTGAACAGTGGTGGAAACATTGTACAGTGAATGTTGTTCAGAAGAAAAAAATATGAATTAAACAGGGTGAACTCTAGCAGAAAATTGTTGATTCTCTTTAAAGCGAATAGACCTATTTATATCCAGTTTTCTTTCAAAAGTAGAATGTGGTACTCAGTATGTATTGATTTTTATGACTTATTTCACTAAGTGAGCTGAGGTTTATCCAACGACAGATTTAACCGTGCAGCCTGTCACTGGTGCATTGGTAGAGCACTAAATAGCATGATTCAGTGTTAAGCACTGGGTGTGATAAATATGCGCAATTTACCATATTAGCCCCAGTCAGATGGTTTAGTAGAATGGATAATATAAACTATCAAACACGTGCTTGGAAAGTTTGTTAATCTCAACAGAACCAATACTCGCCTTGCATGATGATGGCATTTCACACAACAGAACATATGTAGAACTAGTTGTTTGGCGAACATGTTCAAGTTTTGTTTGGAAATACTGCTCCCCGTAATGTGATGTATGGTCTTTCCCATACAATGAATGTGCCATAGTATCCACAAGGATGTGTGAAGTGGTTGAGTCTGCATTGGTTTACATGCACAAGTTTGCACACCAACAGCTAGGTTGGCTCTGACTTAACAAGTGCTCATCTCGTCCTCCGATAGATTGACCTGGTGATGTAGGAGTTACAGAGTTAACGTGGCACATGTAAGTATGTGGAGAATGTTGATAAACTAAAACTATGTTTCTGATGAGCCTTTTGTACATGGGCTGGATCAGGACTCTAAGGCCGAAAAGAATGACGATAGTGATGTCATTTATCATCTCAACTCAACTGATAAGGAATAAAATGTTGTAAGTAATTTTCTGGCTGTATGAGATGAGTTATAAGAGAGCCCTTATAGTCAGCTGAGACATTGAGTCCAACCTTCTGACCATTATGACTGGAATTAACTGGCAGACGAACAGATAGATTAGTAATTCGACTTTAAGATCGATATTTGAAAGGAAGTTGCATTCTTTGTTTTTCAAACTATTTAGTGCTATTTTAGTGTGAAATGTATGCACTAAGTTGTTATTATTAAAGTAAATATGGTTTATTGATCGCAAAATTAACTGGATGAAAAAGGAATTGTTCCTTTACTTTCAGTGGAGTTTGATCGAAAGATATCTGCTGGATGTTTGGAGATAGCTGATAAAGTATTATACATTTATAATGTATAGTGTTAGTAGATTCAATATCTAGAACACGAAAAGTTTATACAACCGAAGATTATCACTACGAGTTTAAAAACACAATTGAAAAAGTGCTGCAGCCCTTACTTTTCTCGCTATCAAGCAACATACTGAGATAACATTATCGTCCAGCATTTTTACAAAATATACACATTTTGTTTAGCCAAGTAGTAGTGGCTTTTTTCCAGAAAATATTGTGAAATATCTGCTAGATATCTCAACTACACACAACTTCTTGATGCAAAGTGAGATAGTTTTTCTCAGCACACAATATGAACCAGACTGTTGTGAATTGAAGTTCAATGGTTATTGTTTCACTGGATTTGCTTGTCTTTATCTTTCTGTCGTACGCAATATAGAAAGTGGATTCACTTACTGTATGTTGATGGATTAGCTACTAGTGGCGGTGACTGTTTAAGACAGTAAACGTATTTTACTACAGAATAATGTATTTAGTCTAATAGTATTTAGTCCAGTGTATTTAGTTTAGGTAGGTCTGATGAGCCTGAATTTTTCCAGTGATTTTTAATTTTTTAATGAAAAATAATATATTAGTTTAGTAGCTCATAGATGTAAGCATACAGCACTGAAGACATCGAAATATAGCACACAAGCACAGGAAGTCTGTCTAAAGCTACGAGTATATCTGATAATATGAAATATTGAGATACATGCACATTACAATAAATGTGTATATATTTTGATAACAAAAATGAATCAGACACAATGAGTACTTGCCATACAACTTAGGAAGAAAATTATTATCCTGTTGTACCCTATATCTCAGGGGTCTTCTTCACCTTCAACTTGGCAGAGCTCATGCATTGTTGGTAAATATATCAGACTTGCATGATTTTCATATTCCTTAGCGAAATATCTTCCTGGACCTGAAGCCCTCTAAGAGACCCTCCAAACTTTAGGAAGGTAACACCCACCAAATCACTTACAGGAAAATTTCTGGTAATATTTGATAACAATTTGGGGGCATCGACAACTGATGCCATTCTACAGCCAGATAAACATTCCATACCTAATCTTAGTGGCTGCCCACAACACTCTTGACAGATATAAGAGACCATCCTACATTTCAACAGATACTACTAGTAAAGTGCTATTACCAGAAGCTAGAAGCCAGGTGGATGTTTCCTTTTAATATGAAAAGTTTATTTTGTAATTCTAGTATGACTTACTCTACTATTGTTGAAAGACATGTTTTGTTTTACATTTTTTTGTTTCCTGTGAAGGGTGAATTTTATATTTATGATCTCAAGTTAAAGTATTTATTTTGTATTTGATGTCAAATTTTTGGTTTTAATATGTCTTACATCGTGTTACCAATTTTGAGGATAAAATCGATTTTGTACGTTGGTTTGATCGTGAAGAAATATTCTGTGATATTTATGTATTATAATAATATTTATTATATATTTTTAAATTCAATATCAAAGGTTAATTACTTGTCATTGGTCATTTTCGAGATATAACACTGATTTATAATTTATGATCTTTCTGCATAAAATTATATTCCTGGATTATATTATCTGTGGTGTTGTATAGGCCTTTAACAGAGTAAAAAGTAAATTACACTGCCTTCTTGATCCATGTACCAATTTACTTCATGAAATGTTATATTTCTAGATTGTAGGTAGCCCGAGGGTAAAGGGGAAAGGACGAATGTGGTACGCAGGCATGCTAACTATTTTTACCAAGTTATTTAACATATATTTTTCACAATTTACATACACACTGCGTATGTAGTTTTAAACACAGGGCATTGATCAAGGAAGAAGATAAATTATTTTCATTCTTGTTATCTATTGTAATTGATCTTTCATCTCGAGTGTCACATGTTCCTTCTCTTAGGAAAGATTTCTGTCAAGTGGAACATACTATAAAAATAGACAACGATGTTTTCCAGTGGTGGGTTAGATAAAAAATACGTTATGAGAAGAATAGTATTGCGATAACAATCAAGTTAAATGTAGAGTTGTTTTCCACATTCGCTAAATTTGTCTATTTTGGATTTCGTGGCTTCATACTTTGCTAGCCTTTAGCGTTGAAGGCTTAACAACAGTGTTATTTCTTAAATATATTGTTATGTTTTCTCTGTCTGAAAGAATTCTTCACAGACTTACACTAACTTCAAGCATATATTTCTGAAAGCTCCCAAATGTACAGGAAAGTCGCCATTCTTAATAAATACATTCACTTGTAATTGATTTGTAAACCAAATAAATATTGTTTTTACGTTATTTTATACTGCGTCCAGCGTCATTCTTCGTGTACAAAGTATTCGGACTTACTCCATGATACATGTTCTGTTGAATTTCCTGTTATTTTGCAGAACCTACTTAATTGCCCTTGAGGGAATTCAGTTCACCAGAGAATAATAGACGCTCATTGCACAATTCTTAAAACCAACAAGAATTAAAGAGTAACATGAACTAAAAGTCACAAATTACAAAGAATATTTTAAAACGTTTACGATGCTGATTTTTTAAACTAAAAATTTGAAAGATCTGAATATCTTTTATCAAAATTGAATAAGAAACTCAATTGGATAAACAAGTCACTTAATTTTCAAAATCCTTCAAATTATTCGTAACATTTTAGTTAAAAACGACGGACACATTGTTTAAAAGGTCCGACGTTAAATACATGAAACTCAAGTCGATTTTAAAGCAATACTGGTTTTTTTAACCTTATGTTGTTAACCCACCCTTTATTTTATCGTACCTACAACCTATAAAAGCTTATATAATTTCTCAGAATATATCATAATCTGTTTTATTGCAAATTTACTGTTATTGTTTCAGATCTCGCATTTCCTAACATATTTGACTTCGCTGTCAGCAAATTAGGATATCAAGTAACAGTCGAGATCAATGAGAAAGATAAGGTAAAATAACTATTAATGTGTTTCATTTCTCTCTCACTTACTTTTATGCTTTTCTAAAAATGGTATATTTCTTAATTATGTAGACTTATTGTTCTTTTGTGACCTTACACAAAATACTGGGTTTAGTCTAATGAAAGAATCCAGAGTCTAGGTCAAAATTTGTTTACTCAGTGTTTGAAAATTTAAATCTAAATCAAATTATTACTTTCCCAAACAAAGATCTTTGTTTAAATAACATAATTATGGAAAGTTTATGTTTTTGTATAATTAATTAAACTACAGCTTATACCTGAGCATAAAAAACTCAAAATCTAACGCATAGTGATAATTTGTGTTTATTATAACATTTTAGCGACAGATGTCTGTCAATTTTTAAACTGTTTAACATGTTATGTTATGTAGTCATAATACAAACTGAAAACAAGAAAGCCTATCAAGTTAATGTCAGAATAAATTCAACACATTTTAGAGTTGTTTGTGGAACTAAATTGAACTTTTCGTACACCACTGTTTACAATAGCCTCGCAATAGAGTATTTATGAAAATAAATTAAATCAAAACCGAATTATATTTGTTTGTTTTATAGAGAAAAGCCACACTGGGCTATTTCTTGTGTCCACCGCGAAGAATCAAACCTCATATTTTAGCGTTTTAAGTCATCAAACTTAACGCTGACCTACTCTGCAAAATGCTTTTTCTTTGAAAAAAATACAGAATCACAGGAATATCAATGACACTTATAACTGCTATTAGAAAGTAGCTAGAGCCAGTGAGAAAGAATGGGTGAAATGCCTATTTATCTATTTCTGTGCTCTATCTCCCTGACCTATCGATATTTAAGTACAGATAATTCATTAAATGATTGTCAGGATTCACATGATATAGATATATTTATAGGATTGATAATGAGAGATATTGAAAACTTTCACAATGAAGAGTAAATTATATGACCCATATTAAAATAGTAAGATAAAAATTCAAAGAGTAATACTTCCACAGAACTCATAAATTAGCTCTTCAGTGCTTCTAAAGAATTACTGGGTTATAAAATAACAACGTGTACGTGTTATGAAGAAATCAATTATCGCCAAGATGTGTATATTATTGCAGTATTTTTTTGTATACTTAAGCTGTTTCGAAATTATTAGTTGCTTAGAAATAATCTTAAATAATTTATGAGCTTAAAGCATAAATATTTATAGAGAAAATTTACAGAAATTTTATTAATGTTGTTCCTCAGTGGAACAGCTTTGATCTAAAACAAACAAACGATAGAAGCTATGAATAATGGATCTCTAATCGTCTATCTGATATTTATTCTTAGAAAGAAAGCTTTTTTATTGAAGAACACTATGACATATTTAACAAGAGAGGCAGACTTGATATATTGAAGAATGGCACTAGAATGCTATATGCTTACTACGAGGAAACTGACGAGTTCTTTAACATTATTGGTAAAGGTAAGTTTCCTTTGCTAATTAAGGACTACGCACTTCTCCTACCCTTCTTATGTTCATCAAATTTATTTGGGTTGTACTTATTCCTATCAAGAATTGACTCAAACTAATGTAAAAATGACACATAAATTTAGAAATAAGGTTTGCTTCTTATTGTCAGCATATTAACCTGTTCCTTCACTTCTCTCGATTTATCCATTTTGTCTCACATTTCCTTGTCTTATTCTATTTGTTCCCCAGTAAGACAACAGTAAGGCTAAAATACGTGATTCAATTCCCCGCGGTGAACACAGTAGATAGCCCATTGTGGCTTTTCTCTAAAACAAACAAACTTTTTTCTTCTTCATTTCATTCATTTTTTTATATTCTTTTTTCAAATCCACGACGAACTAGCTCCTTTCTTGTATCTGTTTCCTCTACATAACATTTCATACCTATTGACGACTTGTAGTCTGAAAGGAGGCTGCTCACTCCAACCGCTGTAATCCCTTGACCACTTTCTTACCTCTCTCAACTTCGACCGATGTTCCCTACACCTAACTCCATAACACATCTCCCCACTATTCCTGAATAAATTGAATAATTGCGATTGTATTTATTCTCGGCTGTGTTTCTTTCTAATATCGATGTTATTCCACACTTTGTCATTCCGGCGTATTGTCACAATCTTCTTTAGATTGTTTCACCACTTACAATCTTCTGTGGAATGTTGATACTTTAACTGTCTTTACATATATTACATTACAGTTCACAATCTTTTTATAGATTTTTTACAAACTTCACAGTCTTTCATATATATTGGTGCAATATTTTAATAAGTTCACAGTCTTATATATACCCCCAGTCTCCTCTGTTCCACCTATAACGTTCAGGGTTCGAACTAGTAAGTTCACAAATTCTGACTCTTTCATTAATTTGCATAACCAGACATTCGATGAAAAAATCAGCTTTAATCCTAGCAAGATGGATCTTAAGTGCCGCATCGAGAAAGCGTCTGTATTTTATTGGCCACTCGCTGTTCTATAACTCACTGTAAAATGAAGTTTTCTGACTTCATTTTTTACTCTGTGCAACCAGATCAAAGTGTTATGGTTTGTTTCCACAAAATATGATTTCCCTAAGAATAAGTGTCTTAATGTGTTAAGCCCACACATGATTGAGAAGCATCATTTTTCAGATATGGCTGAGGCTTTCTCGTGTGCTTGTAATTTTTGGCTTAAATGTGCCACTGGATGTTTCATGCTATCTTGATCTCTTTGACTAATCACTACTCTTAAAACTATATTGGACGCATAAGTTTGCACAATGATGTTTAATGTATCTTTATATTTATATAAAGTTGATTTTTTTATGTAGAGCCTCTTTTAATTTCCTAAAAGTCATTTCACCGGTCTCATCCCACACAACATAGTTTGGTCCTGATTCTCACGTTAATGTTGTGAGTGGAGCTGCTATTTCTGCAAACCTGGGAATAAACTACCATACCATTCCAAGAAAAATTCTAACATCTTTCTTTGTCATAGCTTTCCCCAATCTCTAATAGCTTTTATATTTGTTTCTTTAAAGGCAATCAATCCTTTACCTACCATGTGCAGTCTATCTCAAGCTTGCATTTACCTGGTTTTGTTGTTAAAATCTGTTCTAGTCAATCTATTTAGTACTTCTCTCAACACTCTTAAATGCCCATCCTAGTTATTAGTGTGTGTGCCACAGCCATCTATATAAACTGTGACTGACTCCTCTAAGCCACGTGAGATGTTATGGAAACCTTTTTTTTTGCTTCTGTATGCATTGCATTAAGCTCAAATAATCGATAAAAGGTGGAAAACATTGCTTTATTTTTATCACCTTCCTCTAACTCGACGTTGGAATAACCTTTAGATAAATCAATTTTACTAATATTCTTTGCATGACTAATTTCATTTATCATGTGTTCAGGAATTGGCAGTAGCAGCTCCATTGAACATCCTCAGGTCAACACATAATATTAACCCATCAGTCGTAGGTAATAACACTACAGTCAACGAATACGAATCAGAAGGTTCCGTATTTGTTCTCCTTTTAACAATCTCTCTATCTTCTCCACTAGAGCTACCATCAAATATCAAGGAACTCTCCTTTTGGATTCTAAACATTAGAGAGTATCTGTATTGCATTCATAACTAATCAAGTCTACTTTGGCCTATCATAATCTCTTACAATCTCACACACTTTGACATGCCCTGCCTGCTCATAAGTATCTAAGGTAGTTTGCTATTTCTTATCGTTACTACTAGCCTCTAAACACGTAATCTTAGAAGTTTGAGGTGCGACTCTAGTGTACCATGGCTAAAGCATATTTACATGACATGTTCGTCTCACCACTTTTCCATCCCTTACATGTACCTTAAATGTCACACGGTTAATTACAGGGATAGGACCTATCCACCTTGCCTCTAAACTAGTTTTGGGTATTGAATCGAGTACCATAACTAACATATTTACCTTACGTTCCCGTTCTCTAGCATTCTTATCGTAGCGAAAATTTTGTTTATCCTAGTAGCTTTAGCCGCTAACTTCTGCACCTTTTCTAACGTTTGCTTTAAACTGATCGTATATTCTAATACATTTCATGGTTCTTCTTCGTCTGTGGACCAACTTATTTTTAATACGTCTAATAATCCCTTAGCATCTGAAAGAATGAAAATCCTGTTGTAGCCTGGGGGACTTCGCGATATGCAAATAGCACTAAAGGCAATATTCTACTTCCTCTCAGCTAGATTCTCCTGTACAATTTCTTTTAGCATCACCTTAACTGTCTTATTTGTTTCTCAAACATTTCATTTATTTGAGGAAAATAAAGATCAGTATGGTTTATTTTAACTTCTCTCGATTTCCGTAAATATGTTATTATTTTTGATTGAAATAAACCTGATAAGAATCTTTCAGAAAACCTGACCCGTGAAATCATCATTATCAGCTCTCTCTAAGTTCCTGTAGGAGTAATATTTGATCCTTACCATACATTGGATGATTTCCATTGCTTTTACGCCTCAGTACTTCTTCCCGCCAGCAACAACAATTTCACCCGAGTGTGGTTACTTCTATTTTAAATTTAATTTAATTATTTGTTCTCGATCTATAATTTCTATTCTAATAGAGTCAACAAAATTGGCATTATTTGTATTATTTACTGGTATTTATTTGTATTTGTTACTGGTGTGTTTTGCGACATGACAACTTCTGCCTTATTACCAAGAAAACCGGAAGTGGAAGACGATCTGCCACTCCTACAACCACTTCCACTTTTGAAAGCTCGGCATTATAATATAACTTTATCTACTGGTACAGTACGCCCAAGTTCCTCTGTTGTGGTGTTAAAACCAGTTAAATCTAATGTCAGTTCATTATCTTTTACTAGTTCTTCTCTCACTTGAGTTTTCCAACCACCAATATCTCATGACGACTTGTCCATTTATCATCAATTTTTTCTAGATATTTATTTGAAATTTGCTTTCCGTCTTCAATACAACACATTACAGTGTCCCTTTTATTCGCCGTTTTCTTATTTTACCAACAGCATTTTGCTATACGCCCAACTTGATTACATATAAAATATTTTGTGCAGGTTTGTAATTTCTCTCCTACTTATTTATTCATAAAATCACTCTACGGAAAGGTTCGTCTTACAATTTTCGGGGAGCGCTGATCCAGTTTTGCATATATATATAAATAGTGTTACTAGCTTGATTTTCACTTACTTTCAACCCACTACGTTTCCTTGCCACTACATATTCATCTGCTGACGTCACTGTTTCATGTGCGTTTGATAGCTTCCTATCTTTTAACCATATTACTAAATGTGTTGGTAATTTTGTGAACATTTTCTTTTGCAACATAGAAGCTACAATTTTGTCAGCGTTTCCAGCGCACTTATATCCTTCAATCTATTTAACTAGCAAATAATGAAGCCTTGTTTCATACTCTTTAAATTTCTCATTCGCCGTTTTTTCTCGCTCGTAATTTCCTGAGATAAGTTTCCAGACTTAATTCGTACACCTGTAACATAGCTGATGTCACTACACCATACTTTAATTTGTCTACACTCCCAGTATTCTTGAACACTGCTAATAGAAAAAGTAGCTAGCTTCCTCGTTATATCCTCCTGTGGCTGCCACTCGTCTGCTTTCCTTATTTTTTAAAAAACACAGGAAAATACACGTATATTACTCTTGCACAATTTACACAACTGTATATGGGCGCTTCTTTTATTCATGCTAGACCTATCACCAGAATTACCACTCATCATCAACTCGAATTCTTTCTGCTTATACCTGTCTCCCATCTCTAGTTCTAAAACGTTTTTCCCAGCTTCTATTTCCAAGGTTTTCTCTCAGTTTTTTCCAAGCGTTTATTCTCTGCTTCTAATCATTTCATTCCTAACTGTATCTTAGCAAATTCTAAATCTTTAGCATAATAAATTGCGTTAAAACAATTCGCAGCTCGCGTATTTTTACTAAGCTCAAGGTTGGAAAAATCATCTATTGTGATTCCAGTCTCAGTTAAAACTTCACGTATCTCGTTTTCTAAAAGGTATACACAGCTATCTATATTTAGGCTCCCCAGTGGCACTGCGATATGCCTGCTGACTTACAAGGCTATAAACCGGGTTTCGATACCCGTCGTAGGCAGAGCACAGATAGTCCATTCTGTAGCTTTGTGCTTAACTTCAAACAAATCAAAACCAATCTATATATAGTTATTAACAAACTTTTTGTCAGTAATATTCCAATTATCATCCATCCTATTGTTAATTCTTTAAACTTAAACAATGAACCACACAAGTTATAATAAATAATAATTAACTAAAACACCATCAAAAACAAAACAGGCAAGTTAAGAACAAAAAAAGGAAATTGCTATCTTTACCGACACTACTGTTTTACGCAGAGACAGTTGACCTTTCTATTCGGCTTTGTTTGATGTGGTTCTAACTTCACTTCTGACATTACTATGTTAAGGGT